CGTTTTTACTAGGTGATTCATGGCTGCCTAGCCAAATTACCAGAATATCCCCTCACACTGATTTCGTCATAATCGGCGGCTCAGATCTTGGTTATGAACGTGCTTTACCATTCTGGAAAGTAGAGATTAAGACCTTTCCAACGCGTATAAGGTCATTTCTAGAAGTTACTTGAGCTGCACGCAATGTTCTGTTGAGATCGTCAAACTTAATCTCTAATTAGTTCTCTCCAGATTTGCACGATCTCCATCAGTCGCTGATCTCGCCACTCACCTCCGTGCACTAGAGACTAGCTACCGTGCTGCTAGCACTACTGCCCAGCTCACTGCCTTCCCCCCGCCATTTTGCAATACCCTGTACCTTATTGCCATGCGCCTCCCTGACCGCTGAGCCACTGCCCGCGACCACTTCCTTAGCCAGCACCCTACCGACCTCACCCTGACCGCTTTTGTCGCTGCCCTTTCTGAGATAGAGATTCGCAAGCGCACTATCGCTCAGTCGAGCGGTGTTGCAGCAGTACCTATCTTTCAGGGCTGTGCTCCCTCCCAGTGCATGTACGCGGACGTTTCCGCTGCGGTCGCAATGACTGTTCCTGCCCCTGAGATCGCAGCGGCTGCCTTCCAGCAGCAGCTGCGCCAACGTCGGGACCATCGCGGCCCCAAGGGAGGGCGTGGTGGTGGTGGCGGCGACAGTGGTTCCGAAGAGGGGGCTGGGGCAGGTGTCCATGAGCCGCAGCAGCCGCAACATTCAGAGCCGCAAAAGCAGCAGCAGCAGCAGCAGCCGCAACAGCCACATCAGCCGCAGCAGCATTAGCAGTAGCAGCCATGGGCCCGCCTCCCGCCGGGTTGGCCGGGAGCCCCTAGAACTGGTGGCCTTGGTGGCGGTCCTCGCAGCTCGGCGTCTACCGGCGTCTTCGGTGCAGTGGGCTGCCAGTACCAGCTCCAGACCGGGCCCCTCTGTGGCACTATATGCCGCCGCCCGCACCCGACCGCCCGCTGCTTCCGCTGCCTTGATGACCTCTTTCATCGCCACTTCAGCCCGGCTCCGGACCTCCCTGACTAGCCCAGCCAGCTGCGCCACAGTGTGCCTATTTTTTACTTAGGCATGGATCAGATTAGTTCTGCCCTGCATTCTCTGTATGCTGACGCTTCTTGTGTGTCCGGAGCTTATTACCCGTATTCTCTAGCTTAGGCATAGCACATGTGTGTAGTACAGACACCCCTGCTGCGCCAGGCAGAGGATCGTTTGCTTTGTCTAGCCTAGGCTCCACACTCGCTCCTCCGTCTGCTGCTACTGCTTCGGTTTCCTTCACACTTGACCCCGGTGCGTCCGCCTGATTCTTCCGCGACCACGCCGCACTCACGCCGCTTGCCACGCCTACCGCTGTCGCACTTGCTTACTCCTGTCGTTGCTCGCAGCTACACTACCCTCCCATGTCCAGCGGTCCCCTCGGGCTCCCTTACAGGCCTCCTCATCCCTTCGTTCTCCAGGAACTTAGTTGTTGTCAACTGTCTTCGAGACCTCGGTGTCACCACTACGTTTCGTTGTCACGAGCGGTACGCTGTCTGTACCGAGGCCGCCTCAGGTTCCCCCCTTGCGACTTTCCCCCGGGACCTGGTGTCTGGCCTGTTTACGCTAGACATTGCTCCCCCTTCGATTGGCCCATCCTCCCAAGGCCCTTAGTCTACCCAGGTCACAGTGGCTTGCTCGTGTCGGTCGCTCACTCACCCGTCACTCCTAAAGCACCACCGCCAAGGTCACCCCGCACTCCCCCGTCTGCGGCACATGTCTCAGCACGGTCTTGTCCTAGGTCCTCCTGCGTCGCTTCCTTCCCTCCCTCCCTCGCCTGCGTCGTCGTGCACACCCTGCATCGAGGGCCGGCTGCGCTGTGCTCCTCATTCCTCCACGCTTCATCCCGCCACCGCACCCCTTCAGACCCTGCACCTGGATGTCTAGGGCCAAGCCCCCGTACAGCCTCTACAGTAGAGATGTACTCAGATTTCATGGATGAGAGGCTGACACACTTGATCCTCTTGCTTGCCCAAGTGTGAAAATATAGCCACTTGTGCTACCGACACACTTGATCCTCTTGCTTGCCCAAGTGTGAAAATATAGCCACTTGTGCTACTGCATCTCTGCCTATCGCCAGCATCGTCAACATCTGCGAAAAGGGAGCTAGCCAAGCATTAAAAGTCCTTCCTCTAGAATGGTGGAGCTTTAAGACCTAGTCTAGGAAGAATGGGAGAAGATCCATGCTGAGGTTTGCTCTAGCCTCATCGACAGCTCGCCTAGGAGGGTGTGGGTGGTGATCAAGGCCAAAGGTCGGTGGGCTAGGAACTAGAAACACACTTTTGAAGTTTGCTCTCTCTGATTAGAACTATTTGTCCGGATGTACCCTTTGTATATCTTTTGGGATATGAGTTAGATCCAATATACTATTCCGGGTATTTGTGCTATGAACACATCCACTATGTATCCCTCCCAAATCGTACCACCATTAAACATTATGGCTTAATGTATAGTGGTCTTAAAGCCTAAACACCCAAATTAATGCAAAACATACGGACAATTGTTTCTGCCACTGTAGCCTCGCTGGTGCACCCAAATCTTCCAAGCAGCTTTGTCCCTGATCAGCACCAACCCTAGGTACTTCTGCATAGAACTCATTTGTCGAAGCTTAGATGCATTTTCAAGCAGAGTCTTCAACTCTGCCAAATGCGCCTTGCTCCAGCTTGTAGCCAGCAGATCGTCGACGTAGACGAGGACCACGCGGCTGTGCGGGCGTGGGTGGTGGAGAAGGTGGGCTGGATGAATAATGCGGTACTAGGGGGGTGTGTAGAGGGGAAGCATTGCGGGTAACTGCGCAATGCATGAGTTGAACAGCCTAAATGGCGTATAAAATGCGTCCCACGAGTACCTTGAGTCAATAAACTATGGCTAGGATATAAAGTACTAACACATATATTTATTAGTTGACACACCCCCTAGCCTAGGTAGAGGCAACGTCTGACAAACCAGTACAAACCAGGGCAGCACTACTAGTCTGGCCTCTGCTGGATGTAACAAAGCAACCCAATGCACCACCACTAGTCTGACCACTGAGATAAGGGCCACAAGGCCAGATCATGACAAGCAGGTATAGGACAGCAGGTACAAGCTTGTATAGCACATGTCGGGATACAAGGAGAGGAGCGGCTATTGAGACTAGACAAAGCTGAGTACAGAATCGCTGATATCAGCAGTGTTGGCCTTTGAGGCCAACTATACTACATGAGCCTGACTGCGCTGCTGCAACTCACGCAGCATGAAGTACTGCAGTTGGATATGCTTTGCCCTGTCCTCAAGTTGAGTATCCTGACACAGGATGATCATGGCCCTGCTGTCAGCAAACAGGATCAGGGTAGACCTAGGCTGCTCACTTAAGTCGGTGAGCAAGATCGTCAGCCAGCGGAGCTCCTGAGCAGCCATAGCCCTAGCATAGAGAATAGGAACCAGCAGCACTAGAGTCATGAACATACAGGCAGTACATCGCATGCTCTATCTGAATCATATCAAGATCAATGGTCTGAACACCACGATGATGCAAAGAGGGTCAGTGAGGTACCAGCTGCTGGGGGCCAAACTGGCGGTGGTATAGGTCATCCAGGCGATGGTAGCAGCGGGCGGTGGTGTGCGCCCGCAGACCTGGCCGGCCCGGGGGCCAGTCAGCAGCTAGTACGTGCAGGTCACAACACCTCTAGGCTTACCCGCACCCTGGCCCGCAAAAGAGCCATGCAATCCCCAGGGCACTGACTGCCCTGGGGCCCAACCTCCACGGCCTCCACCACGACCACCACTCCTAGGGCCTGCCGGCCAACACGGCAGCTGTTGCTGCTGCTACGACCTCTGCTGCTGCTGCTGCTGCTGCGGGATTGGCTGCTGCTGCTGCGTAGTCCCCGACTCCGTCGGACCAACCTCTCGGTCTGCCCCAGCACCCCCTCCACCAGCCGCTGCTGACACCCCAAGACACCTTGCCCCTCTGTCTTGAGGAACGACTGGGCGCGGTGACCACTGCGGTCTCGGTGACCTCCACAACAGAGGCAAAGGCCACAGAGATAGGGAGCTGGGGGGTAGAGCAGCCCTGAAAGTCGGGGACCGCCACCGTGCCAGTGGTGTCAGCGATGGCACGGAGGCGCGACTCAACCATTGTCAGGGCGGTGGAGAACTCAGTGACAGTGAGGGTGGTGGGGGGCAAGGCAAGGAGAGCGTCTCGTGCAGGGGCGAGGTGGTCAGGGAGGCGGGTGGCAAGGAGGTACAGGATGATGCTCACCTAAATCACCCATAGCCCCCCAGGCAAGGCAGCCTGTAATTTGTCATCGATTTTTCAGCATCACCTGTCGAGAGACCCACTGGGGTCGCCCTAGAAGATCCTCGGAAGGGCCACATGATGCTATGCTTGGGAGGCTATGGGCACGCTGACCTGCTACTAAAAACAAGCCCTTTTAGCACAGTGGTTAGCGGCTGTATTTCTGAGATGTTATCAGAGCCTGTGGTTTCCCGGTTAAAATCCCATTGTGCACTACAGAACTGCCGAGTCCTCCACCTACCCCAACGAGGGGGGGTGTCGAGAGACCCACTGGGATCGCCCTAGAAAATCCTTGGAAGGGCCACAAGCTGCTATGACTAGGAGGCTATGGGTACGCTGACCCACTACTAAAAACAAGCCCTTTTAGCACAGTGGTTAGCGACTGTATTCCTGAGATCACCTAGCTCAAAACATCTTAGCATTCTTCTTTTTTTTTTTTTTTTTTTTGGGCTGTATTGTCTGCCTTTTTCAGTGTTCTGTTCAGGGTGCACATTGAAGCATGAGCTAGACTGTTGTTGGGGAGGCTGAAACAGAGTACAGCGAGTCTCTCTTTCCCCCTCGCATCCTCTCTTTGTTCCCCCCACGTCCTCTCACTTTCCCCCCCACGTCTTCTCTCTTTCCCCCTCGCGTCCTCTCTCTTTCCACCTTAAGTCCTCTCTCTTTCCCCCCTCCCGTCCTCTCTCTTAGCATGAGTGCATGGTTGATCGGTTGAGAGAGGGAAGCAAGGGAAGGGAGGGCTGGGAATGGAACGGAGGGAAGCGCGACAGGAACGACGAGCGGAAGGGCGACGGAACTACGAGGGGAAGGGCGAGGGGAGATCTCGTCGAGTATGCGTTTCAACCTCTTTTTTTTTACGCGTTAGCCAAAAACTACTCTGCCTATTTGCCGATGCGAGCTAGTATAGAAACCGAAAAAATAGACTTAGAACCTGATCCTGAAGGGGGGAGGTGGACGATGGGTTCGAGGTGGATTTGTCGCAGAGAAGGGGGTTGTGTGGGTTATTGTGCTAATTAGAGGCGTTTGGGGGGGAGGGGGGGGGGGGGGGTGGTCTGAATTGTCACCCAACATAAATTTCAGCTGGGACGAGGTTGATGAGCTTGTCACTATCACCGCTACAGTCTGGGATGCCTAAGACTAAGACGCAGACTCTATTCATAGTCGGGGGCGACTAATGTACTTGAGAGGGTTTGGAGGATAATTCTATTTTCAGTAGACTTTTTCCGTTTTTCAATGTCTCAAGTCACGAGTCGGTTCGCATTTCCACACTGCAGTCGAAGAGTTGGAAAGTCGATATGAGATTGAATTGTAAGTTCTGGACGATGGGCACATCATTGAGTGTGATGTGTGTGAGGTTGTTCCGGGCGGGGAGAACCACGATCCCTTGGATTTTCACCTTGAGCTGACAGTCAAGTACCAAGTAGTGGGAGTCGGTATAGTGTTGGAGATGTAGCGAGTTGAGTCAACCATGTGTTGGCTCCAATCCGTGTCATGCGATCAGCGTTAGGCATATGGGTGGGTAAGAAGGGGCGTTGATCCTTGTGTAGGAAGTGACCGGGAGGGTTTTCTTCACCCCAATCTTATGCTACGCTGTAATTCGGAAGTCTTGGTGGGCATTCAAGTAGGGGGACGGGTAGGCACTAGTCCAATTCTAGTTCGTCGCTTAGGTAATATTCATTAAGACCTCGGGGGTTATTGTTTCCTTCAGCAAGTAACTTGTTGATCTCTTCACGTTGAGGAGGCGAAGGGGGAGGAGGTCGGTGACTATTGACTCGTCACGTAAGTGTGAGGTTGTGGATGGCCACAAAGGCTTGGCAGACTATGGCGGTGTTGGCAGGCCTCGTGGGGCGAGTGTCTGGTAGTCTTGCCATGCACTGGGTGGGTCGCACGTCCGCTTTGGACGCGCGAGCGGCTTGGTGTTGGCCTTGTCAGCATAGTTCCATGGGCCTTATCTGGTAATTTCCCCAACCATTGTTAGCAGAATGGTTGGTGAGAGGTCGGTAGCTACTCCTGGGTCGATTGTGGCAACGTTCCATGGAACGTTTGAGGACCTTACAACTTTTGCAAAAGAAGCGGTAACTATGATGGTCGCAGCGAGGTTCCTTCTGACCAGTTTAGAACGCGATATTGTCTTTGCGCGGGGCTTTCTCCTTGTAAAGATCCAAATCCCTGCTGCGCTGCCAGCAGGTTTGCGCACATAGCTGCTTCGGAAACTGCTCCCTGATGGCGTAGGAGTGCTTTGCAGGGGCGCCAACCAGGCGTAAGCCCGGCAAGGACGATCATTCCAAAGATGTCCTCTGCGATGGTTCTTCTAAATATGATTGTAGATACTTCGACAACGGTTAATGTAGGTGATGACATTCTCTCCTGGGGCCATACACACTTTGAGTAGCTGTCCGAGAAGTCAGCTCGACGATACAGAGTCCTTTGGCTGACATAGACCAGTAAAGTACAGCCAGGAGCCACGTGCCGGAGCAGCGTGCAAACGAGCGATTTACCAATTGCTCTGTTGGGGAGATGTTACGGAGAGGGAAGCTGTAAGCGATCAGCGATTCGTTGTAGTACTGAAGCTTCTTTGGTGTCGATCAGCGATCCAAGATAAGGAGCCGTCAAAATTGCAGATTATCTTAGCGTTCTGGAGAAGCAACTCGAACTCGAAACGCGAGGTGTAATAATCACGATCGTTGAATATCATGTTGCCACGTATCTTCGAGACAGCGAGGAACTTCGATTGTGTTGTGTGCAGGGCTTCGCCACTTAATCACGTGCTTGCAAAAGGTTGCGTATTGTTGTTGTTGAAGGAGTAGTGGCCAGTGTTAAAGTAAGAAAATGAATAATAATCCTAGAAGGAGAAACCTAGAACAAAGACTAGTTGGTTGTACTCACTAGAAGCATACCCCAGTCTAGCCTATAACTACTACATAGCTAATATGTATAAGTTGACACACCCCCTAGGCTAGACAAGGGGTGAAGCTAAGCAGGAAGCAAACAGCTCAGGGTGGCACGACTAGTCCAACCACTGAGACAGGGGTCTGGAGACCAGTCAGCAAGAGTACAAACAAGACTTTAGCAAGCCAGGGCGGCACTACTAGTCTGACCACTGGAGGTGAGGCCACAAGGCCAGTCTGACAGGTATATATATAATAGAGAGTACACAATCAGGATCCTAACAAATGAGTAGCTACAGGAACAGGACCAAGCTGTACACAGTGCCGCTGATGATCTTTAGGCGCAAGCGCCTTAGTAAAGATATCAGCTGTGTTGGCACCTGAGGCCAAGTGAACTACGCGGGCCTGGCGGCGCTGCTGTAGCTCGCGCAGGAGGAAGCACCGCAGCTGGATATGCTTCGCTCTGCCCTCAAGCCGAGGCTCCTGACACATGAGTATCATGGACCTGTTGTCAGCGTACAGGACCGGGGCAGAGCTAGGCCGCTCACCTAAGTCTGTGAGCAAGAAGGTCAGCCAGCGGAGCTCCTGTGCCGCCATGGCACCAGCGTAGATCTCAGCCTCACAGCTAGACTAAGCCACAGACGATGAGCGAGTGGATCTCCAGGAGATAGCACCCGAACCAAGGCTAACAGTAGCCCTGCGACGACCTGAGTGTGTCAGAGTCGTCTGCCCAAGAAGCGTCTGTGTGCCCAGTAAGGACCACTGGCCTGCGTCCTCCTAGCACTAACCCCATGCCCAATGTACTAGCAAGACAACGCAAAACCCTCTTAGCGGCAGACCTGTGCTGAGGTCGGTGCCTGCCTGTAGCCACAAAGCGAGCCAGGATGCTGAGAGGGTATGCGAGATCTGGGCGAGTGCAAGTCATGAGGTACATGAGGCAACCCACCAGCTCTGCGTAGGGGCCACTAGGCTCTACTGGCTCCTAAGGAAAGGGAGCGGCGAGCCCATGGTCTACAGGTAGAGGTGTGGGCTATGCGGAGGAGAACTGAAGACCGAACCTCTGAAGGACCTGACGCACCAAGTGTGACTGTGTCAGAGTGATGGTGCGTGCTGCTCTGTCCCTAGAGATCTGCAGGCCAAGATAGCGACGCAGCTCTCCAAGGTCAGTGCAGGTGTGTCTCTTCAGCAGCTCTGCCTTCACAGAGGCTAGTGCGTCCCAGTCTGCAGTAGCAAAGACCAGGTCGTCTACGTAAACAAGGATGTAGAACGGAGTCTGGCCGGAACGCACAAACAGTGAGGGGTCAGCTGAGGACGGAAAGAACTGCAGGTCTGCTAACGTGGCACGCAGCGTGTCGTGCCACTCGCGGGGAGCCTGACGCAGGCCATAGACCGGGCGCATGAGAAGCCACTGGGTCCCAGGGGGGAAGGTACCAGTGAAGCCCTGTGGTCGGCGCAGGTAGACCTGCTCGTGTAGGCTGCCCTGAAGAAAGGCAGTAGAGAAGTCGAGGGAGTGAAGCTCGTAGTCGCGCTGTGCTGCTACGTGTAGCAGCACCCGAAGAGTGGTCATCTTCGGGGTCCGGGCAAAGGTTTGGAAGAAGTCAACCCCCTCACGCTGACTGAAATCTCTGGCCACATAGCGCGCCTTGAAGACAGGCGGCTCTCCAGGGGGGCGCTTCACCTTGAAGAGCCACCGACCATCGACTACGTTCACCCCAGGCGGGGGAACTGCGTCGATGTAAGTGCCAGTGGACCTCCAAGATGCCATCTCCTGCTCCATGGCAGCTATCCACTGAGAGGCCCAAGGTCCCGAGGTGGCCTCAGCGTAGGTGCGAGGGGTCGGGATGTCGAAGGCGTCTGGGTCACCCTCAGGGACTAACAGCATGGAGCAGAGATGGGGAGCAGCCTCGGAAAGGAAAGCAAGCTCGTACTGCCTGTCCTCTATGACGTCACTGCCAAGGGCAGGAGCACCCCCGACGAACGGAGGATGGGCAGGGTCAGCGACCAGAGCGGTAGCGTAGTCAAGGCGGCGGGTAGAGGCGAAGTTAGCGACAGCAGCGACAAGCGCGTCAAGGCATGAGACAGGAACAAAAGGGTCGGTAACAAGAGAGGCAAGGACCCGAGGGACAGGGGGACAAGCGGCACGGAGGTAGTCAGAGAACGGAGGAGGTGCAACAGCAAGGGACGAGGGAGGAGGGGACAGGAGGAGGGGAGGACAAGACGAGCGGGAACTGCGCAACATGAGGTGGGAGCGCAGGACAGGAGAGACGGGACGAGCACGGGAGGGACGGCGAGACCAAACGTGGGACGGAGGTGTAGGGTCAGGGGACAGCGGAGGGGATATAGGAGGGGAACGAGGAGGAAGCCGGGCCGGAGACGAGTCTGGCGGCGGGAACACAGGACCGTAGACAGGAAGGTCAGCAGGCGGTGGGGGAGACACCGGCGAGCGGTCCGGGGAGGGAAGGCCGAACAGGCGGAGAGCGGAGACCGGCGGCGACGGCTGCGGCGGCTGCTGCGACGGCTGGGCCGGAACCCTTGGACCGGCAGAGGCAGGACGACCATCGGCGGAACCCTCAACAGCAGCACCCCCAGAACCAACACCCCCAGAGTGAGAACTCCCTCCAACACTAGCGGCAACCCCAGGAGCCGCAGGATGAACACCCTCCTCCACACTAGCACCTTCAGGGGTCAAGAGCGGCGGCGATGGCTGTGGCGACGGCGGTAGTGGCGGCGGCGGAAGTGGCGACTACGACAATGGAGGCGAAGACACCGGGGAAGGGGGACGCGGCAAGGACTGGCCGGGGGTACCACCAGAGTCAGCGGACTCCTCAACGGGGACAACCGACGGGAGGGGAGTGACGTGAGAGACACCAAACGGGCCAGGACGAGGCGGGAGAGAAGCAGAGGCTACCGGGGGAGAGGGAGCAAGGAACAGAGGCAGGGCAACCGGGAGACCTCGGTGAGGGAAGCGGCGGTAGAAGGAGACAGACTCGTCAAAGGTGATGTCACGAGAGTGGAGGAAGCGGTGAGACCGCGGGTGGTAGAAAAGCTAGTCAGACGAGTCCAGGGGGAAACCGAGGAAGACACAGGGGACAGTGCGGGCAGTGAGCTTGTCCGTGCCAGAGGCACGAACGTGAGCAAGGCAGCCCCATACTTGGAACGCAGACGCGTCACCGAGGGACCCGGTCCAAAGGAGGGTCGGCGAAACCTGCGGCCGCTGGGAGCGTGGCCACAAGTTCAGCTGGTGAGCAGCGTAGCGAATTGCGAACGGCCACAGAAAATGGGGGGCATCGGCATGAATCATGGAGGTATGGGCGACCTCCATCACCAAGCCGATGCGGCGCTCAGCAACCCCATTCTGCTGTGGCGAGTCCGGCAAGGTGTACGACAGGGTGATGCCCTCCGTACGACAGAAACGTCCAAGCCGACCAGAGGCGAACTCGCCGCCACGGTCAGAGTGGAGACACAACACGGAGAGAATGCAGTGAAGACGCGCAGCCACAACCCATGGGAGAAGAACGTCGGGCACGTCGGCCTTCCGCTCCAGGGGAAACCCCGTGGTGTAGCGCGTGTAGTCGTCGACGAGCACAAGGAAGTAGCGCTCACCACGCGGTCTGGGGACGGGGCCGGTCCCCAGACGTCCAGGTGCAGGGTCTGAAGGGGGGCAGTAGCAGGGCGCAGCGAGGAGGAGTGAGGAGCACGGTGGAGCCGGCCCTCGACGCAAGGCGTGAACGGTGGCGCACTCCAGGGAGGAAGGGCAGGGAGCGACGCAGGGAGACCTAAGACAAGACCGTGCTGGGACATGTGACGCAGATGTGGGAGAGCAGGGTGACCTAGGCGGTGGTGCCAGAGAAGGGACGGGTGAGTGAGGGACCGACACGAGCAAGCTGCAGCAACCTGGTAGGATGCACCAACTGGGGGGGAAGCGGTGTCGAGGGTAAACAGACCGGACACAGGGTCCTGGGGGAACGTCGCAAGGGGGGAACCTGAGACAGCCTCAGAACAGACAGCGAACCGCTCGTGACCGGGAGACAGCCGACACCAACCAGGTTCCTCGAGAACGAGGGAACGTGGAGGCCTGTAAGGGAGCCCGAGGGAACTGCTGGACAGGGAAGGGACGTAGAACTGCGAGCGACGACAGGACCCACAGAAGGGTCAGCGAGAGAGACAACAGCAGGCGTAGCAAGCGGCGTGAGCGCGGAACGGTCGCGGAAGAAGCAGGCAGAAGCACCGGAGTCGAGAGTGAAGGACAGCGAAGCAGTGGAGGAGGCCGGGAACGGAGCCGGTGCAGAGACTAGGCTAGGCAAACTAGGCAGTCCTACGCCTGACGCAGTAGGGGAGGCTAAGCTACACGTCGGTGCAACACCTAAACTAGAGTATACAGGGTAATAAGATCCAGCAACACTAGAAGCGTCAGAATACAAGGCATGCAAAGCAGCACCTATCTGATCCATGTCTAACTCAAAGTTTGGCACACCCTGGCGGAGCAGGCTGTGCCAGTCGGGGAGGTCTGGGGCCGGGCCAAAGCGACGACGAAAGAGATCGTCGAGGCAGCGGAAACAGCGGGCGGTCGGGTGCAGGCGGCGGCACAAAGTGCTGCGAAGAGGCTCGGCCTGAAGCTGATACTGGCAAGTGACAGC